GCTTGCCTAAGCAGGCACTTTAGTCCACTGAGCTATTTCGCCGGCCTCCCAACTTCATTTCTTTGAGTCTTAATTTTTATTATTTCCCATTGGAACTTGTCTTTATGTCTACATTCAAATGGTGATAGTTTATTGATCATTTCTTGATAGCTCAGCAGGGAAGCACTTATTCTACTGAGCCATCTCACCGACCCCCTGAGTTTTCCTTAAATGTAGCTATTTCTATTTAAATGTCTCATGCAGTGGTACATGCCTATGATCCCAGCACTCTGGGTGGGTGAGGCAGAGGAACTGCTAATGTGAACCCAGCCAGGTTACCTTAACAGTTTATGGAGACCCTGTCTCAAAATGTTTATGCTATTTTAATTTTTTTCAGTTTTTATTTTTTTTTTTTAGTACATATTTGCATCCCATAATGATGACCTTCCTTGTGGGGAGTTGGTTCACTCACATAACACCTCTTCCTCCCCTTCCGTCTTTTGATCTCCTTATTTGAAAAAAAATCTGTGTCACAATTTTCTATCATCTATCTTTTATGTATATTTTGAGTTTCTTTTATTCAGGAAACCATGCAGCAGTGAAGGTTGTGCATCTGGTTTTACTTCATACCGTGGTTCCAGACACACCCATTTTCTTACAGATGAGCCAGATTTATCTTTATGAGGAATGCTGTCCTGTGTATAAACACCATGGTTCTTTTCCTGCGCATCTCCTGATGGGCATCTATGGGCTGCTTCCCAATTGAGTCGTGGTGCTATATACACAAGGGTATGCACATATCCCATAATACGATGTTTTTAATGCTTTTGAGGAGATAATCTAGGAAGGACATAGGTAGGTCAAACAGAATCTCTAGCTTTAGTTTTTTGCAGAACCTCCATCCTGATTTCCATAGTGGTTGTCCCACTTTACATCCCAGCCAGCAATGTAGGCACCTGCCTTTCCCCCTGCAGCATCACCAGCATTTGTTATTATCGGATTTCTTGGTGATAACCGTTCATGTGGAGTAAGATGGAATCTCAGTGGTGTTAGCTTCTCTCCCACGGCCACTGAAGTTGAACATTTTTTCATGTATTTGTTGGCCATTTGTGCTTCTCCTGTGATGTGTCTATTCACTTCAGTTGCCCATGTTTTGATTGGCTGCTTTATTTGTGGAAAGAGTATACTTTTTGAGTTCTGTATATATTCTAGATATCCGTCTTCCATCTGAGGAATAGCTGGAAAAGAATTTTTCCCTTCTGTAGATAGTCTCTTCACTCTGTTGGTTGTTTCTTTTGCTGTACAGAAGCCTTTTAATTTAATATGATGCCATTTGTTGATTTTTTTTCATACTATTTCTTATGCAACTGGGATTCTAGTCAGAAATCCCTTGCCTACATCTGTGTCTTCAAGAGTTTTGCCCATCTTAGCTTCCAGCAGATACTTCCTGTCTCAGAATCTTCAAGGCATATAAATAAAAAGTGCATGGCGTGAAAACTTGGTGAGGAGGCCTCGGTTCAATCCTCAGCCCCCGTGCTGAAAAACAACAGCATAAATGTAGACGGGAAGTAACAACTTCATAGTGGAAGCGATATTCTTAAAAATAAGCATCCAAGAGCATTTGTTCCTGAGGTTTCTGTTAGCTTTTGCTATTTGCTTGCCATTTTTGGTTCTTGCTCTGGGACTTTGTTTGTCCATGCCAGGTAGTGATGAGCTTTCTCTTTATGGTTTGCCTCAGGTGTCATTCTGTCTGAGGACCACCCTGGAGCACCAGTGTCCTCCACGTCACCTGGCATCAGGACGGAAAGCTTACCTGCCTCTCCAGGGTGCGTGCCCGAACAGCT